TTTTTTGGTACTGGGGATCGAACTCAGGACCTTGTACTTCCAAGGCAGGTGCTGAAACAAGAGGTTAATATCAATTACACACAGGTCTTACTTTAACTTGGTCTTGAACACCCCACAGAAAAGTACAGTATAACCAAAAACATATTAAAGTAATAGTAATATAGGTGCCACATAGAAAGTGGCCTCCAATCACTGGCCCCTGCTGACAGTTTCCAGCTATACCTGTAGACAGGTCTAGGAGCTAGCTGGTTACAATTACTATTCCAATCCCTTAAAAAACAGTGTCTGGACGTGGCTCTTTCCCCAATCTGTCTTTCTATTCTGATGTCATCCTTTGGTCATACATGCTTTAATCTGTTGGTAAAGTTTGTATATTCTCACCTAGATACCACCAAACTCCCAATGATCATCAGATGGAACCAACAATAAAAGTGCCTGGGATCCATTTTTCCTACACAGTCTGCTCAAGGGGGCACATGTCCCAGGCTTCATACAACATGCGGTACTTCTGTCCTAGATAATCATGGTAATGTAACTGCAGCTCTACAGGAAATAGACACCGAGATCCAGACAGTACAAAGAATGTCCCAGGACCCCTTGAGAGTTCATGGGATTCGTGGAACTCTACTATTCTTTCTTGGATTCTTCCCTTTACAGTGCCCGTCCTCCTTTTTGCACATTTCATTTATTATTGCCATGCCTAGTCAGTCTGTTTCAGTGTTAGAATTCAAATACTGGTCTGCCTAACATCGAAGCTCTGCTTGTCCCAGCTGTGGAGTCTCTGGCTCTGAGACTGAATGGAGCTGGATCTGCAGCTTGCTGCTCAGGAGGCCACAGGAGGGGAAGTGAGGCCAGGCTCCAGGGCAGAGGCAGTGACAATAGAGACAGCACTGAGTATCAATTTCCTGGGGTAGTCACCTGGGGGCCCGCATTCTCCTGCCATCTGTCAAACTACCCCAGAGCCCTGGGAAATGGAGACAAGTCTGAAGAAGGCTGCGAGGCCTGGGCCAGCAGTGTGTGCAGTGGTTAGCAATGTGCATATGCAAGGCCCACGTTTGGATGTCACCTCCTACTTGAGTGCCCTTGATCAAGTAAGTTGCTGTCCCTCTCTGTGGTGCTGGAGCTCTTGGGCCTGGCAACAGTGTCACAGCTGTGGCGTGGAGGAAGATAGGAGATGGCACCCTGCACACCCCAGGGTACAGCTGTGAGGGCCAGGCCTGGACAGACAGGTGGCTGGACACCAGTCCAGAGCCACATGCAGGGGAAGCACTGAACTTGGTCTGGTTTAACCTCTCTGTTAAACTACTGTGTCCTTGTGCTCATCCTCACTGGTAAGAAGGTAAAAACAACACCTAACTCACACTGTGCCTGAGAATTAAATGCATCAACAGCTGTGAGGTATTTACAATAGGGGCCAGCACGGAGAAGGCCCATGATTACTGAGTTATCTTTTTCTTTTGACAAAGATGGTAATAAATGGGGGCTGGGGGTACAGCTCAGCAGTAGAACACTTGCCTAGGGGTACAAAGCCCGGTATTCAACCTCTGGTACAGCAAAAGGGCGATAAGTATATGTATGTAGTCTTTTGGGGTGTGTGTGTGTGTGTATATGTGTGTGTGTGTGTGTTTGGGTTTTGGGTTCTTTTTTCTATCTTGGTACTAGAGACTGAACGAACTCAGGGCCTCACATATGCTAAGCAAGCACTCTATCCCTGAGCTATACCCCACCTGTACATAATCTTTTGTTATCCTTTTTTTTTTTTTCACTTTGGTATTTTTGGGGGGTGTTGGTGGAGTGGTTTTTTTCCCCATTTCTTTTTCCCTTTCCTTTCCTTTCTCCTTTCCTTTCCTTTTTCCTTTCCTTTCTCCTTTCCTTTCTCCTTTCCTTTCCTTTCTCCTTTCCTTTCTCCTTTCCTTTCCTTTTTCCTTTCTCCTTTCCTTTCCTTTCCTTTTTCCTTTCCTTTTTCCTTTCTCCCCTCCCCTTTTTCCTTTCTCCCCTCCCCTCCCCTCCCTTCCCCTCCCCTCTCCTCTCCTTCTTCCCTCCCCTCCCTGCCCCTCTATTCTCTTACTCTTCTTCTCAACAAGGTCTCACTGTTACCCAGTCAAGCTGAACTTGCTAGTGTAGGGCAGGCTGGCCTCAAACTCACAATCCTTCTGCCTCAGCCTCCCAATTACAGGCATGCATGTACAACACGCACCCAGCTTGTTTTCTGTTTGTGTGTCTGTTTTGTTTTTTTATTTATTGAGACAGTTTTGCTATGCTGTCCCCGCCAGTATCAAACTCAAGGGCCCAAATGATCCTCCTACCTCAGCTCCTGCATAGATGGGACTACTGGCCTGTGCCACCACACCCAGCTTTTCTTTCTGTGTCCAACTCCCTATAATGAGAGCATGTTTCCACATATATACACTTATCTCCATCACCACTAGCTATCTTTTATAGTTGTGACTGTCATTAATTTTTTTACCATCTCCCATTGCTGTTTCCACGTGTGGGCCTATATACTGAGATGAGTACTTGTATAGATCAGTGATGGTGAACCTTTTAGAGACGAATGCCCAAACTACAACCCAAAACCTACTTATTTATCGAAAAGTGCCAACACTGCAATTAACCTGAATACTGAGGTTTTAGTTTAGAAAAAACAACTCTACATTAACAACTTTTGTCTTAAAAAGAAAAATACAACACTATATGTGCCATAGGTTCCTGCCACTATTATAGATATATCTTAATTTCCTTAAATAAATTTGCTTTAACTACATAAATTAAATGAGCCAGGGATTTAGCTCAGTGGTTCTGCCGCCTGCCTTGCAAGTGTAAGGACCCAAGTTCGATCCCTGGTACAAAAAAAAAAAAAAAAACACCTAGAAAAACAAAAGAAAAATTTTTACCAAGATGCATTATGTAAAGGTAGAATTCCCAATGAGAAATGTAATTGTGTTGTATACCTACAATGTACCAATAAAGAAATTTGATAAAAAAAAACTTAAAAGCTTTATAATAAAAATTGCCTAACTGTATAATGTGATAGAAAAATAAATTAAATGAAATTAAAAATACCTGGGCTCTGAAAGATGCTTGGCCCCCAGGGCTCCCTGCTGTCCCGGTCCTCCTCAGTGCTTCTTAGAGCAGCTGCCACAGGCCCTGGCGTCACGGCCCCTGGGAAGGCTGGGAGGGGAGAGCTGGGTCCGGGAACCTGTCTCCCTGGAAACAAGGTGGAAGGAAGGTCACTGTCATTTCGTGATGTGGGACAACTGCTGAGATCAGACACCTGAGTTCTACTGCGAGCTCTGCCATGACTCCATGTGCGTGGGCAAGTCCCTTCTCACCCCGACTGTGGGCTCCCCATCAGGACAATGTGGTCCCTGGATGTGACAGTCCTGTGCTGGCCCTGCTCTGACCCACTGCATCACACACACCTGGCTTCTAAGCCTGCCTAGGCTATGGCCTCAGACAAGTTACTTTCCGTCTCTGAGCCTCTTTCCCCCCGCTTACAAAGTGAAGCTCATGAAAATAACATCCTCAAAAAAAAAAAAAGAAAGGAAGAAAATAACATCTTTTTGCTTACATCTCAGGGCTGTTGTGAAGCCCTGGCTTCCATCCTCAGCTCTGCAAAACAATAAATTTTTTTTAAAAACCCAGTAAAATGCCTATCCCTCTAAGTCACTCTTGATCCTAACAGCTTCCCTGTCACCAGCTATGATGTACAAGCTTCATCCTGTGTTACAGAGGGATCCTACTCCCTGGAGGTTTCGTCTGCTGAGAGCCCACTGTGCCAGGCCAGACCAAGCTGAGACAATGTGCCTTTAATATCTTGTGTTCAGTCCTTGTTGGAGGTGAGGAACGGAGGCCAGTGCAGACTAAGTGACTAGCCCAGGGGCACAGGGGTCTGGCAGCAGGGTCATCATTTCCCCTTGGCACGGGTCTGGGAAAATCCACAGGTACTGGGAGGACTGGTGACACCGGCTCCATCGAGCGCCTTAGCTGTGAGGGAGCCATTAGCGCATTTGGGTAGATGCCCTACACAGTAGGCACTGAAGTCACATTTGGAAGGCCACAAACCGCACTGTTGTCAGCCACCAGCTCATTGTCAGTCCCCAGAAGAGGTTCTGGTTTCCTAAGAAACCCCTCTCAGTGGGTTTTGGGTTTAAAGGTGTTTTAAATGTAAACAAGGAACCCTATGTACAAGCATCAAATGTTAACAGCTGGGTAAGGCTCAGGAGTACAGCACTGGCCTAGCATGTGCAAGGCCCTGGGTTCAAGCCTCAGTGCTACAAAGAAAAGAAAGCAAAGCAGAAGGTATTAGATGTCTTCTCTTCTGGTCTGGCGTTGCTGACACCAATCTGAGTTGGAAGGAACAGGACAGACCTCCACCTCGATTCCCACAGTCAAAACCACCAGACAGAGAACAGGTGGCCTCCCTCTCCTCAGCCCCTGCAAGCCTGGTCTCTGGTTACTGAGCAGATGCAACACTTGCTCTCTCAGGCTGCCACACCAAGGTGTGAAGGAATAAAATCATCAGCAAGGACAGGGGGAGGACGCCAGAGAGCCCACATGTGCACATGAGGTGGTGAAGAGGTATCCTCCTGCATGGCTCCCTATCGGCCCTGAGGGAGAGCTGGGGCAGAGTCCAGGCTGCCAGCACTAGGACAGCCAGTGGCTCTGGGAGTCAGTGGTGATGGGATAGAGGGTACAGGTGGAAGCACTTCTATGACCCTCCTGCTCACTGGGGTTGGCTGGTGGTACGATTTCTTTGTCTCTCTGCTCTGTATTCTCTGTGTCCCAGGGTCTCTAATGAGTATGAACAACTGAATGGAAGCCAAGCCATGAGCTCACAGCATCCTGGCATGAATTCTAGCCACTATGGATTCTACCATCAGGCTCACTAGCAAGGGAACCATTCAGACAAATGGGACCAGGAGCTGAAGCAGGAAGAGGCGGAGCACATGCTGGTATAGCTCAGTGAAGGCAGACCCTGGTGGGTGAGCTGCAGGAGAAAAGGAAAGTAGGGAGATGGAATGAGAGAGCTGGGCAAGATCAGACCACTGGGGCCCTCGCAGGTCGTAGTTAGGTGTTGTGCCCAGATCGCGAAGTCCCCAAAGACCACCAAGGAGCCGATTCCGATGTAAACACACAAGGGTCGTTTATTCAAGCTCGAGCAGGGGCACTCAACCGTCACCGACGCAGCGGATCAGGATTGAGAGCCCAGAATTCTAAATCAGCAGGGTTTTTATTGTGGCTACCGCAAGGTTTGGGGATGTTCCATTTAGCAGTTACATGATTGGTTGATATTTAGCAAGCATGGGGGGTTGAAGGGTGGCTACATGTAGAGTTTATGGGAAAAAGGAACAATCAGCACATTGACAGAGTGTTCTATAGATAATGGGCCCGGGAGCATCTGTTTTCTGGGCAGACAGAGGATTGAGTTAGGAGCTGTGTCTTTTTTTAATCTGTTGTCCCACAGCAAGGACATTTTATCATTATTTTATGGGCACAAAGGAGACTAGGGGAATAGCTGACTTCAGTGAAGTGGAATTTATGTCAAGGCCACTTCACTGTCTTATTTTAAGATGGAGTCAAACTTTAAAATGGAGTTAGTTAGGTCTCACATAGGCAGATCCTTGCATGAACCACAAGAACTGAGGAAGTTGCTGAGATGTTAACCCAAAGCCTGACTGCTCCCGCTCATATCCTGGCCTCCCTGGCAACCTGGCTGGAGCTGTGTAACTGGTTCTGGCCAGAGATGCTGCCCATCACTTCTGGGCAAAGCAATTAGCAGCCACAGTACCTCTTCTCTTCCTCTCTTCCTGCCGCAGTAACCCTGAAAGCCCTGTGCTCCCAATGACACACTCAGCTTCAGGCTTTGAGAATGCAGGTGAGCTGGGGGTGTACATGCACCCCTGTGATCCCAGCACTTGAGGAGGGTGAGGCATGAGGATCAAAGTTCAAGCTCACCTTGAGCAACTTAGTGACTATGTAAGACCTTGTCTCAAAATAAAAAATACGCAGGGCTGGGGGTGTAGTTCTGTACAAAGGTCTTGAGTTCAATCCCCAGTGCTAAACAACAAAATACAGGAAGTGGCCTGACTGCACTGGACTTCATGTGAGAAATCCATCTTCGTTGTGTGGAACGACTGAGATTTCAGGGCTCATGTTATGACACAGTGGGAACTAGTTATGACAGCCTGGTACTACACAGCAGGAGTTCGATAAACAGGAGCTCACTTCACCCCCACTCATACCATCTCCCTGAAAACTTAGGGACCAGTTTCTTTTTGGTTTGTTTGGGTTTTGTTTTTGTTTTGAAGTACTTGGGATTGAACCCATGACTTTCATAGTGAGCTATAGCCCCAGCCCTTTTTCAGCCTTTTTATTTTTGAGACAGGGTCTTGCTATATCACTATGTTGCCCAAGCTGGGCTCAAATTTATGATTCTCCTGCCTCAGCCTCCTAGGGTGCTGGGACCACGGGCCTGTGTACGACTTCCAGCTGATGCAGCATTAAAAACAGAATCATCATCCCTTACCTTTATTTACAACCAAAGTAGAAGGAAAAATGCCTCTACCAATTTTCAGAGTGGGAAATCGAGGCCCAACAGTATCTAGTGACTTATCTAAACATGGCTTAGGGTAAAGCAAACTTGCCTTCCCACCTCAGCCCCATTACCCACAAGCCACACCTAATCTGTGAGCCTCAATTTCCAGTCTATACAAGGGCAACAAATGTGATGAGGAAAGGTACTTGTTAGCAACCCATAGACCTGATCCCTCTGCACCAACGCCCCCACCGCAGGCCCAAGGCCTGGGGAGGAGCCCACACTGTTCCCTGGAGGCTGGAGGGGTGGTGGTAAGCAAATAGGGCCAAATAGGGCAGGAGCCACTCACACCTACTCAGGGAGAGGGAGGGCGCACTCTCCTCTGCTAAGTTTGGACAGCAGCCCAGGACTCCCCTCTCAGTAACAGCCATGCTCCCGGAAGGAAATGACTGCTAAGATGCCAAACCCAGGGTTTAAAATTGTCAGGGTTGTGCAACTATGAAGAGGCTGGTGAGAACTTCAAAACTTAAAAAGAAAATCTGCTGGGAAGACAGTTACAGCAAGGAGGAAGTTGAAGCTTGGTCACTTCCCAAGTCCCTTTAGATACCTGAAGCAAAGCCCGGAGTGGTGGCCCACATCTTTGATTATGATCCCAGCACTTGAGAGGCTGTGGTAAGAGAAATGCTGCGAGTTCCAGGCCACCCTGGGATACACAGCGAGACAACATCCCTGCCCCTACACCTCTCCCTGTCTCAAAAAAAAGCAGCTCACTCTTTCATGCTGTTGGTATCTGAGACCTCACAAATACACAGCAGTAATGAGTTTTTATGCCATAAATTGTGATGGTAAAAGTGTTGAAAAATGTTCATATCATAAATTCTGCCAGTGAAACTCCAAGCAACCCTCATTCTACTGTAGATAGCTAAGTTAATTAGATATCTTATAGGCAGTTAGACAGGGCCAGCAAGGAGACAACAGGGAAGACAATCAAGGCCTGTACACACCTTATTTTTAGCCCAGTGAATATGAGTGTCTTTTTTTTTTTTTTGGTACCAGGGATCGAACTCAGGACCTTGCGCTTTCGAGGCAGGTGCCGGAACCACTGAGCTAAATCCCTGGCCACCCAGTGAATATGATTTTGATTACTAACCTTCAGAATTCTAATAAGGTGGGGTTTTTTTGTTTTGTTTTGTTTTGTTTGAGGCAGGGTTTCCCTTTGTCATTCAGGCTGGCCCTGAGTTCACTATGTAACCCAGGCTGGCCTCAAACTCACAGCGATCCTCGATCCTCCTGCCTCAGCCTCCCAAGTGCAGGGATCACAGCCGTGCGCCACCATGCCCAGCAGGAAGACAATCAAAACACTTTTACTGAAGGTCAGCATTGTAAAAGAGAAACCACCACACCCACATGGGATAAATAGCAGTGATTGGTATTCTAAATAGGTATCAATCACCTGGTTGGGGGTCCAAGGTCCTCCAAGAAAGTTCCCTGACCCACCTCTTATCACTGAAAATCCTTGCTCATTCCTTTTACACTTGCTATGTGACTTGTTTCCCCATTGGGTCCCCATTTAATCAATATTACCTGAGCGACTATACTTGTCATAATCTTACTGGTTGTTCATAGTTTTGTCCACCTTGTGATTTCTCATTGGATTATTAAGCAACTG